AATTCTCGTCTTCCTTTTGAGGGTTTGTTTGGTGTTTCTATTTCTGTCTCAAATCTCTCAGTCATTATGGCTTATTCATCCAATTACGTACGTATGGCCCCAGATCGTTCCCGCTCTAGGGATGATCCGCCCATGTGGAGCAACCCAAATCATGCTCGACAACGCAATTCTCAGTATCGTGACTCATGGCATGACGTTCCACCGATCCGGCAACCTCGCCGAGTGCTGATCATCGTCAACTTAGAGGAAGTCCGACCTCTCATGAATGCCCATCATTGTGATGCCATGGAATCAACAACCTGCCGTGCATTGCCGCCACTTGGCCGACTGGAAGAATATGCACTGTTCACCTACAATGTCTTGATCCATCCAGCTCAAACTCAGACCCTAACGGTGGACATTCTGCTGTACTACATCAGTGAGCACACCTGGGATTGTTACCTGGAACCTTCTTCCATGGATCTTCGTTGGCAAGATAGTACCGGAGATACATTCGTTCTTCGCAACGAACAGATCCTGATTGATCTTCTCCGCGAACACCGCCCTCATTGGACTGAAGGCCAAGAATTCGGCATCCTGCTACCTAATGAAATTCGTGCTTTCAACAATCCGAACCAACCATATATTATGCGTTTGAGGCACTCCCAAACCCGCACATGCTTCCGTGAATCACTGCAAGAAAAAGGACCGTCCTGCCGCAGTCAATCAATCCACTCTAGTAAAATTGCTTCAGTACATTCTTTTTCTGAGTCTTCCCGTGCTCAGTTGCTTCTTCTTTTCATGTGTTTCCTTGGCTCTTGGCTTAAGTTTCTATCATGACAAAAAGGGATTCCGTTTGTGCCGGCATTGACTCTCCTCGTGTTTCCACGAGCGTGCAACGACGTCAATTTGCCATCCAATGGCAGTCCAGAAGCGGCGCCGCTTCTTTGGACGATGCTTCATCATCGGCCAATGCAATGGGCACCTGGCCCCAAGACCTGAATCATCCCTTTGGATCAGACCCAAGTGGTACGACGTCAAATACTCATCACGTTGGATACACGTCAGAGATCCCTCCTGTCCCTTTGCCACAAGGATCCCCTTCATACCCCCAAGGGGAAGCATATCCGTTACAAACTGAAATTCAACAACAGCATCGAGTGCTTCATACTCACATTCTCAAGGAGGTAGTGACGCCTTCGCATACATGTCGTCCCAACCGCCTTGTGGTGACGGAGGTCGATCGATGGGGAGTACAACGGAACCGCCAGCCGGAATTCTTCTTCAATGGCATCGTTGGTCATGTGAGATCAGACGACTATGGGAACATCGACAATTGGGATCAAGCCACCCGACTAGCCAACTACTGGCGTCGTTATTTCAACATTCCTGAAGTACATGAGGAGAACGCCTTGTGGCACAACTTCCAGCAACCGTCTGACAATGCTGACCGAAAATCAGACGCCCATGAAGCACCACCTGAATCTGAAATGGAAGACAACGAATCCATCACGGCCAACCTTGGCACATTACCGATTCCAAGTCAGATCCACCAACTGGCAACAGTCCTCCACAACATTCTCATCAGCGATAGGGAATCCAATGCAGCGATCCTTGAGAAGCTTGAGAATTCCCGAAGATGACTTGACTGCCAGTCCGATCCAGGTGTTCGGAGCGGGAGATTTGGCCCACCTTGCCAGCCATTTGGCAACAACATCGCAGATTCTTTCCCAACACGCCCAGAACTTAGAAATGGAAGACTTGTCGGAGATCGATGGTTAGCTCCATCCTGCGATGCAAGACCCGTACTGAGCATTCCGGCCAATTCACTTGCATTTCCCTGCATTTTGATTTCATTGAAACATCCAGCCTCAGGGAACGTATAAGAGCAGATCGACACTTCGTGCATATGTTGTGCAAAGTGGCCTCGCGGCAGCGGGGCGTGTGTGTGAAACATCCGAAGAGATGTAAAACTTCTAACTTGTACTTTTGTGAACCTGCATTTTTTCAAACAAGCTGAAACCCGTTTTCCCAATTTCGCAGGAAATCCTATCAGGGCGAAACCAGGCTTTCCCATTTAGCAGGGGCACACGGCATCCTTGACCTACCGTGTGCAACGAAGCTACGGTCTTGG